CCATTCAAGGTTTAATTTCGATTCTGATTAAAGCTAAACTTCATTCCATTCAAGGTTTAAATTTCGATTCTGATTAAAACTAAAGTTCATTCCATGCAAAGTTTAAATTTTGATTCTGGTTAAAGCTAAAGTTCAGTTCTGATTAAAGCTAAAGTTCAATCCGTCAAAAGTTAAAATTAGAGTTAAAGTTCGATTCACAATTAAAGTTGGAAGGAAATTACATTCAAATATTAATCATTAAAATTGATTTAAAAGCAATTTAAGTGTGTGAATTCGTTTTTTTATTTTAATTTCAAATATAAAAGAAATATTTTTTCAATCAACAAATTGCCAAAATTTTCAAAATACATTGAAAGGAAATTTTAAATTTGAACTATGATAGGAACAAATTTAAATTGATAGCACAGCGGGATGTGACAATAAGAAATGACTACTAATGAATGAGGTTTGAAAAAGGAAGAAAAGAAGGATCAGTTAAAAAAAAAAAAAAAGAGGGAAGAAGGAATTAATGATATGATATCAACAGAAAAGGGAACCGATCAAATGAATTGATAGATTAAGGGATAAGGTTAAAAGGTCAAAAATCATGAAGAAATTGAAACGTAAAATGGATTTCAAAAATTATGTAATCAAATATAATAAATATAAAATGGATGGAAAAATTACATTTTAAAATGAAATTTTCTCACAATGATAAATTATTGTATATGAAATTTATTTTTGTATACTGATATGATCAACTGATAAAAATAAAAAAAGAAAAAAATTTTGTTCTTTTTGATCAACTAATAAAATTAATCAACTGATCAATTAATTTATTCTTAATTAACTGATAAGAAAGATTTGATAAAAATAACTTTGAAAAAAGAAAACGAAAAACAATAGATCAATATAGTTAGTTATCGTTAAAGGATCACAAAAACAATAATAATAGGATAATTATAAGTGCTGTATAATTTGAACTTAAAACCAATCAATATTTAATACCTAAAATTATTATCTAAAAGTAATTATAGAATTATTATTAGTATAATTTTAACTAAAAAAAAACCGATCAATATTGCTATCTAAAAGTATTAACTGGAAATAATAATAGAATGTTTATAAATATTGCATAATTTATTATATCAAAAATTTATAATAAAAATTAAAAGGAAAAAAAAGTGTAATTTTGTAATTTTTTAAAATTTTCTATCTTAAAAAATATTTCGAATTAAATGATTGGTTCAAAATTGAAATGAAATAATTAACAAAGATAAGAATAAATAATGAACAAATAATATCCACCGTTAGTATTACTATTTAGTATAAATTTTTAAATTTAAACTTTCATTTCAATGATAAATTGATAAATGAATAATGGGCACAAATGGATGGATAGAATAAATTAGTGTGAAATATAAGCCATTGAAATGTTTAATTTAATTAATTATCAGGATGATTTATGCAATTAAGGTGATAATTAGATAAATGATTGTTTAATGTACGGCAATAGACAACAATAATAGTTTTATTAAAATAGGGGAAAGAATTATTCATTATTTACATCTTTACTTACTCTTATCATTCATTTCAAATTACTGAATGATAATTTGAGCATTTTTGATAAATTGTTGATAAATTGATGATAATTTCATTGATAATTTTAGTTTGCACCCTAAATTTCATCAAATTTTCCTTTCCAAATTATTTCTATTATTAATTTCTAATATACTAATATTCTATTACTAACTATTATATGTTATTTATTATTACTATCATTAGTTGTATTTACATTTATATTTCTTAGCTAATACTATTTAATAATTGTTTAATCATTAATTAATATTACATCTCATCCATCCAATATTATTCATTTTTGCTAATTATTTCATTATTTATTAGTTTTTGTTTAATTATTTGTTAAATTATTTATGAATTTTACTTATTTATTCATTCTCAGTTTAATTGATATTATCAGTTCTGTTATTTATTGCCATTTGATAATTTAGCTAATTATTAATCTAATTACTAATCTAATTCTAATTTACTTATCTGTTAACAATTTACTCATTTGCTTCACTTTTTTAACTTTTTTTTTGATTACTAATTATTGATGTGAACAAATAAACGTTACTAATTATCAATGAAATAAGGAATGGGGAAAAGGTGAAAGGTTAAAAAAGTATAAATATTTAAATTGTTATTCATTCATTAGAAAAAGCGAATGAATGAATCCTTTTTTCATTTGTCGATGTGGAAATTAATGAAACGGAAATTATTCAATTCCATTCATTCATTTAATCAATCAATGGAAAATTCATCGAATAAAATGATTTGTTAGACAATGAATGAAAAAGGACATGTAAAGTTCAATGAATCAAATTTATGCAACAAATAATTACAGTAAAAATAACAATAATGAAGGAAGTAATGAAAACAACAACAACAACAAACAACAACAACAACAAACAACGACAACAACAAACAACAACAACGACAAACAACAACAACAACAGCAACAACAACAACAACAACAACAACAATAACAGCAACGACAGCAGTAACAGCAACAACAACAACAACAACAACAACAACAACAACAACAATAACAGCAACAACAACAGTAATAACAGCAGCAAGAACAACAACAACAGCAACAACAAGAACAACAACAGCAACAGCAACAGCAACGACAACAACAACAACAACAACAGTAACCGCAACAACAATAACAACAACAGCAACAACAAGAACAAGAAGAAGAACAACAACAGCAACAACAACAATAACAGCAACAACAGCAGTAACAGCAACAACAACAACAACAACAGCGACAGCAACAACAACAACAACAACAACAACAGCAACAGCAACAACAACAACAAACAACAACAAACAGCAACAAACAATGACAACAATAATGACAGTAGCAGCAATAACGACAACAAGCAGCAATGATTTTAACCAATAACAATCATTTCTATATTTTGAATTTGTCATGAATATATTCTTTCCTAATATTAATAATTTGTAAATTTAGGAATTTTGATAAATTTTAAAAGAAAATAAGAAATAAATTAAAAATGCAAGAAATTAATTGAAATTATTGATCACCAAGTAATTCAATATCATTTTAAATACATATATATATATATATACAATTATTGTATTATTGTAATAGTGAAAAGAAAGATATGAAGAAATATATGTTTGATATTAAGTTGAATTGACATAAAAAACTGATTTCGCAGAAATGTTCCGTTGGTTATTTTTTTTATTTTTCACCTATCATTTCGCACTTTTCATGGTCGAAGACAATTATTCTTTTCAAATACTTTGAGAAATTCTTCGCTTTAGGATATTTAATTATTTCTCTTTTTCTTTTCTTTTTCTTTTTTTTTGAAGAAGAAAAATAAACGCAAAAATTTTTTGAAATTATAACTTTTGTTATTAAAATATTGAAGAAAAAAAAAATTAAATAAGTAAAAAAGTTTAGAAAAATAAAAATATTGATAAGTTTATTTTACCTGAATGATTATTGTTATACAATTTACATTTGCATTATCAACATATGTAAAATTATCATATGAAATGATTAAAATTGACCTTAGTTTGACCTCATAAATGTTCATCCAACATTCATCCCTCTCTTCTTTTGCCCTTTTTTTTTTTTTTATTAGCTGTAAATATTTTTACTTGTTAAATTATCAAGTGTAACAGCTGTCATTAATAAATTAAAAAAATTAGAAATTAACTCAAGACTCATTTCAATTATCTTAGCTTAAATTAAAATTTTGAATAATTTTAAATTTGAAAATTTTTTTGAGGAAGTCTAATTGACTGAATAAATAAATGTCACATTCTATTGTTTGTCGTAATGAGCTTTTGTTAATCAAAATATTCTTCTAAACTTTTTTTTCCAATATTTCATTTTTAACAAAACAAATGTTTAAATGAATGAAAAAATAATTCATTTTAAATTATAAAAATTTACAATTTCATCCATTTTAATACATTTTAAAACTAAGCTATTCATTTAGCCATATATGACTGATTTGACATTCTTTAAATTTTAATTTATTTTTGTTTAAATTTAAAAAAGAAGCAAAAATAAAAACAAAAAGTTAAATGTTTAATTGTAAAGATTATGCTAATTAACAAAATCATTTTCAATTGCTTATTAATTACATCCCGAAAAGTGTTTTATTTCAAAATTTTCTTTGCCAGTTTTTTTTTTT